GCCCTTAAAAGGTGGTAACACAACATGTTAGATATTTAATTTATGTTACTATGTAACAGGAGAACTAAAACTGGCCAATCAGGTTACAATCTGACTGCAAATCTACCATATTTAATGGTGCAAAAATGAAATTATCCTACATTCATCTGATTAGGTCTAGTGCAATATTTTAAAGCTCACAAAATCACAATTTCATATCATCTCATCAACATTTGTGATTTCTGTACAAGTATATCTATACTTAGTAGACTATCCAATAAAATAGTAGCATATGTGACCAGCATGAACTCATTTTACTGTAGTAGCAGGTATGAGATTACTATCTACTCAAAACAGATATGCTGGCAAAGGCAAGTTACTGCTGGAGTCCCTGAGAAATAGAAGTTTGTAGATATCTCTCAGCCCTCCAGTACCAACAATTATTTTAAATATCCATTTGGTTTGATCCTTTACTACTTTTCAGAAATGTATTGTTCTATGGCACTTATGTCACAAGACGCTTAAAACAAATGAAGACAATGGGCAGTACAATGGCTAAATGGTTAGTACTTTCCCCTGGCAGTACTGGGGTCGTTGGTTCAAATCCCCAACCACAGCACCACCTGCCTTGAGTTTGCATGTTCTCCCTGTACCTGCGTTGGTTTCCTCCGGGTACTACGGTTTCCTCCTACACTCCAAAGACATGCTGGTAGGTGAACTGGATCCAGTCTAAATTAGCCCTAGTATGTGAATGTATATGAATGTGAGTTAGGGACTTCAGATTGTACGCCCCTTGAAGTTAGGGACTGATGTGAATGTACAATATATATGTAAAGCGCTGCGTAAATTGACAACACTATACAAATATCGGTAATAAATAAAGACAAGATGAAAACCTGTGACAATATAATAATATGTAATAGGCAGCATTTATCAATATATCTGAATTCAGAAATGCCTTTGTTGCTCTGAGTTTAAATTAAAAACCACTTAGTTGTTTTTTTTTTTTTTTTAAAAATTAGCAATAAAAATTCATGTTCCTGGCTACCTAAAAGTGTCTCCTGGTTCTCAGATTTGACTAACTCAATCTCAACTGGTTTGTTAAATTACAACTGTATGACAGTCTACACAAGTACCAAAGCCAGTCACTGTGCTATGCACAAGCCTCAAAGAAAACAAAAACCTTCCTTTACCCCCAGTGACCAAACCAAACCTTCCTTCATATCGGCATGGATGTCACCCCACTTCCTCAAACTCAATCTTTCCAAAACGCAGTATTCCCACCAGCCCGTGCCCCTCCCCTGTCTTCTCCATCAAGATCAATAACACAATCATCATTCCCTCCCCTCATGCCAGGGCACTAGGTGTAATCCTAGACTCCCATCTGTCCTTTCACCCCCAAATCCAATCACTGTCCAAATCTTGTAGACTTCACCTCCGCAACATCTCCAAGATACGACCGTTCCTAACCTCGGAAACCACTAAGCAACTTATTCACTCCCTTGTTATATCTCGCCTTGACTATTGTAACTCCCTCCTCATTGGCCTTCCTAATTGCAGGCTATCCCCTCTTCAGTCTATCTTGAATGCTGCTGCCAGACTCATCCACCTTACTAACCGTTCTGAATCAGCCACCCCTATCTGCCAATCCTTCCACTGCCTTCCCATTGCCCAACGGCTAAAATTCAAAGCATTAACAATAACGTATAAAGCCATTTATAACTCTGCCCCAAATTACATCACCAATCTTGTCTCCAAATATCACCCAAACCATACTCTCTGCGGCTCGCAAGACCTCCTGCTCTCTAGCTCCCTTGTCTCCTCCTCCCATGCTCATCTCCAGGACTTTTCCAGAGCTTCCCCCATCCTTTGGAACTCTCTACCCCAATTTATCAGACTATCGCCTACTCTGCTCACTTTTAGGCAATCTCTGAAAACCTATCTCTTCAGGGAAGCCTATCCTGCCCTCAGCTAATAATGGAATCTTCTACTCTTCCAATCAGTCCATCCCCCACAGCTACTACCTTTTGTACCACTAGCCCCTCCCTCCTAGATTGTAAGCTCCAAGGAAGCAGGGCCCTCCTTTCCCTCTTGTATTGAACTGTATTGTTGCTGTATTGTCTCCCGTTATATTGTAAAGCGCTGAGCAAACTGTTGGCGCTATATAAATCCTGTATAATAATAATAATAATTTGTGTCTCGCACATTCTACCTCCCAGACAATGCAGCTCACAGTGTAAGGGCTTCAGGAACAGAAGCAGTGCTGTCAATTCAAAGAGTAGTGGCAGAACTAGGTGTGACCAGATGCTCATTGACAAGCTACAGGCTTGTAAAACAGCTGACAATGCTGATAGCCACATTTCTTGCCACAGATTTTTATCTCACTCTATTGAAGCCAGGCACAGAGTGGCAACTCTGCTCTGAACTCAGCAGCAGTGCAGCATGTTGCCACCCCACAGGCAGACTTCATCGGCAAGATCAACAGGTATTTGTACGATTTTCCAAGGGGTGAGATGTAAACTGGAATTGCTTAAGCACTTATAATTCTATGGATAACAGAGACAGTTAATTCTAAAAAAGGGCTTATTATCCATAACCAGAAAGTTTTGTTCAAGGAGTGCTAGCCCCAGAGTTGAAAGTTTCAATGTTGAAAATAGAAGAATTTACAAAAATATTTGTTTAAAATCTACTCAATGGTATTTCTAAAAAAAAAAAAAATCTAAGGTAAGATTATCATCACTGTAGTCTTGTAGGGGGATACCTCTTTTACAGAGAACAATTTCCTGTTTTATGAATTCTGATTTGGCTTAGAATTTTATGAGAAAGTGTAAATAAGTTTATACGTGTCTAACTGTTATGACTGTAATTTTTCTGACTGAATAGGATGTGCAACCAGTTGTACAAAGTATAGTCTTCTACTGACCTCCCCTGCCTACAGGGAAATGCTGCTAATGTGTCTAACAGTAAATCCAGCCTTAGATAAATGTAGTGAGTTCTGCTTCTGTGTCACATTAGACGATCAGTAAACTCCATCCACTCACAATTTACTACAGACGATGAAGAAAAAGTGTGGTGACAGATCCAGAGTCAGTCTACTGCTTTTCTAGTGATGGCAGGTGCAAGAAATTGGATCAATAAGCAGAGCAAAAACTTGAAGCAATTCTTACCTTTTTTATCATGTGAATTGTTGTCACCCTAAAATTCTTCATTGATTCATCCCAAAACGGGTCCTCACCCCTCTAAACGAGTATTTTAATTGTCATATTCCCTGAATAATGTAGGGCCCCTTCACACGGATGTTTTAGACTTGATTGGAACCTTCATTCTCCTCTATGAAATGGCCAGTGTAAATGAACAGGTGTCTGTTTACATCTGCCTACATCCAATCCGTTCCACCAAAAACAGATAAACGGGGATCCGTTCCCCTTCCATCCAGCAGATCAGATGGCAGTCGGGTGTAAGGGGAGGAGAGAGCAGGCTGTGTCTGTGTCTGCTCTGCATAAATGGAGTGGACCTGTTATCCACCTGCTCAGAGGGGATCAGCGGACAGATCCCCTACTGAGCAAGCAGATCGCAGCATGAGTCCACCCCGTATGAAAGACAAAACACCAATAACTTCAGTGAAATTTGTTTACCAAACCTGGAGTAAATAATACCAAGCAGATCAAAAAATTAGATTAGGGTGATATGAGGATGAAACCTTACTGGGTACAAGTTCCAATTTTTTGTTCCATATTTTGTAAACCAGCTTCAATATAGTAAATCATAACAGGTAAAATTTAAAACACAACGCAATGAGCTGTTAAAGCGAACCTTCGGCGTTAAAAAACTTGCCAAGTTAGGATCTCGATTGGTGTTGAGGTTCCCTTAGATGCCAGGCTACTTTTCTCATCACTGTAAGCACACTCAAAGTGACAATGAAAGCTTCAGAAATTTTCCAACTCCAATTGTAAAGGAAGTGTAAGCGCAACCCCTTTCTCATCCCACAAGGTAGTGATCAGTTGCTGTGGATCTTGATACCAGGTCCAAGCACTGACACTTGGAAGGCCGAAGTCATTCCTAAACCATCAGTATTTGCATAGGAACCTCAAGGACGTTCTGGCAGTGCTGTTCAAGTCCAATGTACAAAGTGTCACCTAAGCAAGGGTCTTAGATTGGATGATGCTTTAATAATACAGGTATATTTTAGCTGTTTTCTCCTTTTATACACTGTTAAAGTGAAATGCTGCCAATCTAGGCAAAGTAAGCAAGCTTAATACAGGTTAGATAGAAAAGTTTTTGTGCAGTAAAGGTGTCTGCCAGAAGAAGTGGCTGTTTTTAAAAAAAAAAAAAACAATACAGCCGGACGCGACACCCAGAAAATTAGTGTTTTACATATTTATTTTGGCAATGGGAAACAATTTTCTTCAGACATTTGATTCCATTTACATCAGAAATGATCTGTACATGGTGATATTTTTCAAGCTTGCTAGAAAGAAAGCACATCTTAAAATGTACATCAATGACTTAATTCTAATATTGAAACACCCCTTAAAACCTAAAACACACATAATGTAAAAATTGCTCAATTAAAATTAGTGCCAGTAACAAAATATATTATATGAAATCATAGATGAAAGTCATCAGATAACATATGCTGAAAATTTAAAATGAAAAAGGATCATATGAATGTTCAAGAGTTTCAATGTCTATAATGGTCCCTGAATGCATGTAAAAGAAAAATAAGTGCGTGCAGCAGAAGTCTCAGCTGTAGCCCTTGTTAGTGGGGAAGTGGTGCTGACTTGAGCAATGATCCATTACATATTCCACACAGAATGTGGAGTGATAATACTAAACCAGATTGATTTAAAATCATATTTTTTGCTTCTTTAATAAAACAAGCAACAATGTGAACCTATCTCATTCCAAAGTTGACCAGCATCAGCACCATGTTTGTTACAACAATAATGATCTTTAGGTCACTGGATATGTGCAGTTCATACGTGCAGTTCATCACTGGTATTGCTGTCACTTCTTCTTGGTCATAACACTGTAAGAGGACGTAGCTGTTCCAATTGGGTTTCCAAGGCAATTCTTTCCTGATGGACTTCCTGAAAAAGAAAAAAAAAAAAATAAACAGCTGCAGATGGATCTACTGCTAAATGAATGTTACAGTGTATAGACGAATATGATATACCAAAGTCAACATTAGACATGCATAATTGACATAGAGACTGATAATAGAACACAGGGATGTTTTTTTCAAGATATCTTCACACATAAGAGCATTTTTAAAGCCCAACTCCGGGCAAAAAAAAAAGAAAAGAGTTTTCCCATGCAGTGGGGCCGCACTGCACAGGTTTACTACTTGAGCTGTGGACTGTTCCTGTTGCCATCAAGCTCACAGACATGCTCTGGATGTGAGGATGGCAGGAACAGTCTACCACTGGAGCGTAGGGGAAGGGCCATTTGCAAGGGGAGCAGAGGATCGGGTGAGTGTAATGGAACCGACTCCAGACTGCACTTGGGAACTTCCGTTAGGATACCGCTTCCCTGTCCGAAACACCCACCACAGACACCAGCAGCAGACCATACAAGACTAGACGACACCAGTCTTGAAGTAAACCAGGAAACAGACTACTTTATTTTAACACAGATACAAGATATATACATTCAAGGGAACAATCTCCCCTCCCTGCATAATGACGCAGGGCGGGACAATCTACCTTTAGTAACAAAAGACACAGACAGCCCAATCAGGTGTGAGGGCTGCTGGAAACACCCCCACCAAGCCAATACACAAACACATACATCCCATAATAGTTTGCTCCCAAGCAAGACACACAATAGAACAATGGGATGCAACCACATGACATTAACCACTTGCCTACCGGGCACTTATACCCCCTTCTTTGCCAGGCCAATTTTCAGCTTTCAGTGCTGTCGCACTTTGAATGACAATTGCGCGGTCATGCAAGATTGTACCCATATGAAATTTTTATCATTTTTTTCTCACAAATAGAGCTTTCTTTTGGTGGTATTTAATCGCCACTGGGCACTTTACTCTTTGCGCTATAAACAAAAAAATTGCATATAATTTGAAAAAAAAAAAGTTTCTTTGTTTCTATTATAAAATTTTTCAAACAGGTAATTTTTCTCCTTCACTGATGTGCGTTGATGAGGCAGCACTGATAGGCAGCACTAATGAGGTGGCACAGATAGGCGGCACTGATAGGTGGCACTGACTGGCATCACTGCTGGCACTGACCGGCGGCACTGCTAGGCATTGACTGGCACAACTGACTGGCAGCACTGCTGGGCTGCACTGATGGGCACTGGTGGACACAGGTGGGTGGCACTTCTGGGCACAGGTAGGTGGCACTTCTGAGCACAGGTGTGTGGCACTGCTGGGTGGTACAGGAGGGTGCACTGCTAGGCACAGATGGCTGCACTGCTAGGCACAGGTGGGCGCACTGCTAGGCACAGGTGGGCGGAACTGGTGGGTGGCACTGCTGGGCACCGATCATCAGGGCACTGATAATCAGTGCCCTGATGATTGGTGCCGATCCCTGCTCTGACAACTGCCGGTTCTCGGCAGTACTTTCCTCACGCTCTGACAGCGTGGGGAAAGTGCAGTCGAGAACCGGCAATTGCATTTCCCGGTGATCAGCGTGTCATTGGATAAGGCTGATCACGTGGTAAAAGGCCGCTGTGATTGGCCTTTTACCACATCGCGTGATCAGCTGTGTCCTTAGGACACAGCGATCATGGAGATCACCGGGGTGCGCAGGAGAGCGGGTTCTGGGAGGACGTCATATGACACCCTCCCAGAACTGGCCGGCCGCAGTGTAGCCGTCATTCGGCTATCTGCGGTTGGCAGGTGGTTAAACAATCAACAACCCCAATATTAGGACAGATCACCCTGTACCCCTAACAGGCACAGGGTGACTTACTCATAATAGGGATATGGGGAGCTGAGACAGGGGTCTCCCCACCTCTCCAAAGTGAGCTGTGTTCCATGGGCCCACCACCCAAAGTGACTCCCGTCACATATCTCCCCTTTCGGTAGGAGACTAACGCAGGAGTAAACCCCAGATGGGTGGACTCCGAAGTTAGTCTGTACTTTCAGTCCCCCAATGCCAGCACCCACACAGTACCCCAAAAAATTGTCCCACACGAAGCATTACTCACCCAGCCAACCTCTGCCTCTCTTGTAGAACATACCCGCTGCTGGGGAGAAGTATGGGCTGGTCCTTCTCCCTGAAGTCCTCTCAGCCGCTGGAGAGAAGACAGGGGGTGGCTGGGCCGACTTCATCATGCTGTTGGGGATCTGGGCCGACTGCCCAGCATCCCTGGGGTATCCAGGTGGTGACTGTAGTTGCTCGGCAGAGGCCAGCGGTACTCTGTCCTGTTGCCAGCACTTCTGCTGGGGACCCCATATCTGCTCCGGCTAACCGTGGGGGAGGGAGGCCGGCTTCCTCCACTCCCAGACTGTGGATCTGCTGTTGGGATGACATTCCTCTGTCACTGTCCCCCTGGTGCACAGATCCTGGCTTGGAAGGGGAGAGAAAGTTTCCTCCACTCTGGCTGACTGTGGGGGAGGGAGGACAACAACCTTCTCTCCCTTCTCCCCCTGGGCCTCTGAAACTACTGCAGGTGTGGGGCAGAGGTCAACAACGCCATGCCCTGATGCCAGCTCTTCTGCTGGAGGTGCACCAGCTGGTTCCTCCTCAGCAGAAAAGTCAATCAAATCCCTAGTCTCTGGAACTGGTGTATATGGATAGGGATTCACCATCTCCTGTCCGTGAAACCCAGAAGATGTTACCAGTGCTGGGCAGAGTTCAGCAATGTTTGGCCCTGTTGCCAGCTCATATTCTGGAGGCTCACCAGGTTGTTTTTCCTCAGCAGAGAAGTCTATCAAATCCCCAGTCTCTGTAATTTCCACTGCCGATTCTTGGACATGCTGTTGAACATGTTTTAGCAGTTGCCTGTATGCCCTTTCCAGATCCTGTTCTTTCATCAGCAGGTATTCCAGATCTGGTTCAAGCTCAGAGACCCCTATGAGACCGAACATAGCCTCTCTGTCTTCTCGCAGGTCCTCAAGGGTAGGTTTTCCTTCATGCCAAACACAAAATGATCTGTAAGGCTCTCCCATAGCAATCCAGGGCCACCAAAGTCATATCCCTCCGGAGAGCATTGTGTTGACACCCCTAAATATTTCTGCTCTGCGTACCATTGTAGAGCTCGATATCGGTTGTCCAGCTCTATCTCCTGCTGGACCAGCCTGTCCAACTATTGCACACGTTGTTAACTACCCAAATGCAACTAAAATGACATCATGTAATACCTCAGGTATTGAAAACACCTGTGGATGTCACCGAGCAGCAATCAAGAGCATAATAAGCACCAATTAGGCAGCTTTAAAATGACTGTGATACTCAGCTCCTTCTAGACATTTACTGGTGTGGTTACAAACATGGTGAAGGCAAGAGAATGGTCCAGGAAGACAAGAGAAGAGAGGTGATTTCTCTTCACAGGAAGGGCAATGGCTATAAGAAGATTGCAAAGATGTTAAACATACCAAGAGACACCTTAGGAAGCATCATTCGCAAATTCAAGGCAAAGGGCACTGTTGAAAACGCTACCTGGTCGTGGCAGAAAGAGATGCTGACTTCAACTGCTGTGCGCTACCTGAAGCGTAGAGTGGAGAGAAGAAGTCCCCGTGTGACTGCTGAGGAACTGAGAAAAGATTTGTCAGATGTGGGTACAGAAGTTTCAGCCCAGACAATAAGACGCACACCATTGCTCCTGGGGTCGCTCTCCCAGGAACGGCACCTGTAACTTCCGATGGTCCCTGGCCCGTTCCCCTGGGGTTGGATGGCACTTGCCCTTGTATATACCAGCAACCTGGAGGGTTCCACTCCAAAGCACCACCCGAATCCACTGCCTGAGCTCCAGGTACTCATCTGCAGACACAGTCCTGGGGTATGTTGCAAGAACGATTCTCAGCAGCCCCGGGAACTCTGATGCTAGGTCCATATCTCCACTGGGGGTGACCGACGTCTACTTTCCTGATCTTGAATCCCGGTGGTGGTTTGGGCGTGTTCACAGCCAGGAAGCACAATCCCACCGCTTGCCACCAATCTAACGGAACCGACCCCAGACTGCACTTGGGTACTTCCGTTAGGATACCGCTTCCCTGTCCAAACACCGACCACAGACACCACAGCAGACCATACAAGACTAGACGACACCAGTCTTGAAGTAAACCAGGAAATAGACTATTTTAACACAGATAGATACAAGATATATACATTCAAGGGAACAATCCCCCCTCCCTGCATAATAACACAGGGCAGGGCAATCTACCTTTAGTAACAAGAGACACACCAACAGACAGTCCCATCAGGAGGGAGGGCTGCTGGAAACACCCCCCCCCCCACCAAGCCAATACACAAACACATACATCCCATAATAGTTTGCTCCCAAGCAAGACACACAATAGAACAATGGGATGCAACCACAAGGCATCAAACAATCAACAACCCCCCACCCCAATATTAGGACAGATCACCCTGTACCCCTAACAGGCACAGGGTGACTTACATATAGTAGGGATATGGGGAGCTGAGACAGGGGTCTCCCCACCTCTTCAAAGTGAGCTGTGTTCCATGGGCCCCCCACCCAAAGTGACTCCCGTCACAGTGAGTATACAACTCCCCCGGCCAAAATGAGCAGGTAACTCGTGCTTTAAGGTGAACCTGTGGCCTATTAACACTTAAGTGTTTATATATTCTTAACAAAAGTAAAGGAGAGGAGATTTAAAACTAGGCCTAACCAACCTTTGTATCTGCAGGCACTATGTAGCCATTCATCCTCAAATTTCACAGCAGAAGCACTGACGTTGTTCATGTCATTCTCTTAGCAGCTCAGTGCCCCATGCTTCCTACACCCAGAGCATTCACTCTGTGTATACAAATCTGGAGCAGTTGGCTGCCCAGGATTCCAGGAGCAGGGGGTGCAGATACACCAAAAAAGGGTTGCATTGACTTTGCTAAAGGAAAGGCAGGCTAATCTGCGTCTAACTGTACAAAAAGCAATTATTTTCTTTCCAGTAAAGCCTAAAGTGAAAGTCTTATCTAAGAACTAGCACAAGTTGCCAGCTACTACCTTTATTAGCTGGAAAAGCCTATTTCGTTCTCTCTGATGCTGGTATTACTTATTATGGGCCCTGCATTCAAAGGGTTATGTTGTGCCCCAAACCTAAGCCACCCCGTTTACTGGAAACGCTTTAGTGGAAAATAAGGACAGAGTATCCTATGCTGGACAGCAGATGGGTAGGTAGGGAAAGTCAGACCCTTCATAAAAAAGTGACACCAGGATTAATCAGAGGGATATACAGAAGAGGCTTTTCCACTGAATAAAGATAACAGCTGACAGCAAGTGGTGTCTGCCCTTAGGCAGAACTTTTATTTTTAAGTTTAAAATGACTGACAGGTACACAATGAAATGCTGAAATGTCAGTAGATACTTTAATTACTTATTCAAAAAATCAAAGTTTCATTGATCTAATTTTACAGCTGATGAAAGTTAATGAAGGAAAATATTTAGGACCTTTAATTAATCCCTGTATAAGTAAGCATTTTGTGAAGTTATGGATATACAGAGGTCATGGCAGTGTATTCAAGCAATAGTCTTTCAGGGGTGCACAACCAAACCTGACTCGGCCTTTAGGCTAAGGACCCATGAAAGATGTGGTTCCAAATATTATCCAAAAGAAAGAAGGCCATAGGCTTCAAATAATGCTGGGGTCCAACTGTTAGAATGAGTACCTTTGCTCTGCATGCGTTCTGCAAGGGCTCAAAGAAAATAATTATTCTCCATGTGCCCTGTCCACGCCACAACACAAGTATTATGTGTGGATTTTTTCTGTGCAGGAATCTGCTACATGTAAAAAAACTCATTGAAACGAGCATGAAAACTGTTGTAAACTCATTTCTCTGCAAGTGAAAGCTGTACATTTTTCCATCAGTTTTTTTGCACTTATGGTGTGAACGAGGCCTAAAAGTAATTGGGCTTCTGACCCTTCACTGCACCATGCCAGAAGCAAGGCATTGCAGTTGTCGAATATTATTTTAGCTGCACAGAAGCGCATTTAAAAAAACTGATTAGCGGAAATATAAACAGTGCATAACCCACTGCTCATATAGGTGTGTATGTATTGGTGTTCCAGTTTCTAGGTGAAAGTGAGAATCCTCTAAATTTTATCAATTGAACTGTGTATCTAAAGGAATCCTGCCATATTCCCACAGTGTAAATGAGATCTGAAAAAGCATTTCTCACCTTCAATTGTTGCTGAAGTTCACTGTTCAGCCTTGCCAGCACCGCATTGGCTTCCTTGTTTTTACGGATGGCTGTCTGGATGGCTTTCTTCTGTTTGGAAGGCTGCCTGAAAAAGCGGATAAGTGCATCAAGACGTATCGAAAGACAGATTTACTGGTGCCAAAGGACCACACACCCACCAAAACATATGTTAATAATTATCTGACATTGTGGGGGCCTCAACACATACTGGGATGTCAAACACTATGCCCATGAATTCAGTGAATAAAAGCAGTGCCCCCACCTCTGCCATGTGCTTGTATTAGATCTTATCAGGATAGCAAATGCTGTTCTCTTTTAGGTTAGATCATGACTTTATTACATTGCAAACACAGTGCATTATACTTAGTGGCATACAGTCAAAATGAAATCATTTCCTATAAAGTCTAAGCCACAGTAATACATCTTTTTTCTCTGACAGTAACGCCTTTCTACAGTTCTAACATCGGTCATTATCCTCACCTTTGGTCAGGGCTTGGTTACGGTTTATAATCCCGAGAAGCGCCATGTGTCTCCTTGTTTAATTTAATTGAAGATCTACTTCATGACTTTGCTGAGTCTGTGGGATTTATTTGCAGTTCTTTTTAATGGTTTTAATCACTGGGCTATGTCCCAGTCAGCATGCTGGTTAACATAGCCTGCCTATGATGCAACATCTATTCATTGCAGATACGCTTTGCCCACATTCAGCAAACCATCTCTCACTATAGCTAATGGCTGCAATAGCCTAAGGGATATAAACTATGTCCGTTTGCTAGAATAGGGATAATCAGCAGTAATCAGGCTTTTTGTTCGTTGGATTAAACTAGGTTGCCCTCAGATGAAGATAATGTTCTCTTGCAGTTCAGTCTAACTGAAAGTGCTGGTCAGCACATCTACCACAACCTGCACAGAGCTGAGTGACTGTTCTATCTGCAGATGTGGATGGCTTAAAAGAGATGCATTAAGAGGTTCAGCTTCGAAGTGTTAGGGAGATGTGAAAATCTTTGTAGGCTTTACACTTTAATAAAATTATTGGCTGCTAAATGGAGAGGGAAGGCAGGCCAAGATTTTTTTTTTTTTAATGAAAAAAAAAAATCACATATTTCATATACAGCACAAGCACTATATAAGAACATTAAATAATGTGAACAGATGAATGCACTCCTGTTAAAATCCTAGTGTATTTCTGGGTGTCTCTGTCTTTGCCATGTATATATCTAAAGATTATGGTTAGTTCATTTACTACAGGTCTTTTCTCAGGGGAGGCTAATAGGTACAGTGCCTTGAAAAAGTATTCATACCCCTTGAAATTTTCCACATTTTGTCATTTTACAACCAAAAAACAAAATTTATTTTATCGGGATATTCTACGATAGACAAGGAAAGGAAGGGAGAATGTCACCAGCACATCCAAGGATCACCAATATGGGTCCAAAGGTTTTAATGAATGGTCACATAATTACAGCAAGGCAACGCTTTGGAGTCTCACAGGACCCCTTCGTTAGCCGTGATGAAGGGGTCCTGTGAGAGTCCGAAACGTTGCCTTGCTGTAATTATGTGATCGTTCATTAAAACGTTTGGACCCATATTGGTGATCCTCGATGTGCTGGTGACATTCTCCTTTGCTGATTCTGTTCGGTTCCAACTAACGGTCGCTGCAGCACCCACTTATACACACAGCCATTTTATCGCAGGAACGGGTGCGTTTGGATTGTACTCTTGCATTTTATAAAACAGGCCAACACAAAGTGGCACATAATTATGAAGTGGAAGAAAAATTATAAATGGTTTTCAAAATTTCTTACAAATAAATATCAGAAAAGTGTGGCATGCCTTTGTATTCAGCCCCCTTTACTCTGATACCCCTAACTAAAATCTAGTGAAAAATTTCAAGGGGTATGAATACTTTTTCAAGGCACTGTAGTGAGTGATTTGACTGTTCATATAACTTCAGCACCTGGATCTGCCCTTGTGCACATGCATGGTGAAAGCTGAACTCCAGGCAGATTTAAAAAAAAAATGTATTAAAATTATTATTATTATTATTATTATTTTTTAATAACAGCTAGCATATTTATCTACATGTATCTAAATAATAGCATCATGTGATCTCTCCAAACCAGGACACTAACTTGTAAGGAAAAGGCAGCTTGCAGAAAGGAAAGGAGCCATTGGCTCCTGCTGCTGACTGTCAAATCCTGTGAGCAGAGAGTGGGAGAAGGGGGGCCAAGCCTGTGTGTCTGTATGGATGCACACAGCTGGGCTCAGGAGAGAGTTGACCCCACAGTATACAACTTGCTATAGCGACACAGAGTAGCAGAGATTGCCTGCGGGGAACCCCAGAAGAAGAAATAAGGGATGGAGCAGGTAAGTATAACATGTTTATTATTTTATGTAAAAAAAAAAAATCTGAAAAAGGTCTCTCTGCTTAGCTAATGTGGCCCAGGAAGCTTATTTAATTCCATGGAGAGGGTAAAAAGTAAAGCTACAAAAATGAACCTGAATACACAGATAGTGCACATTACCAAAATGTACCACATACAATACACTAAAAAATATGTATCAAAACAATAGAGTTTTTAGAGGTCAGGAGGAAAAACCATTTCCTCCTGTACACCATTGTAACGAAAGATAGGGCCCACTACCCCTTGTGTGCTGTTTGATGTTATTATGATTAGATCAAAACAATATAAACTCGATAAATAAATAAAAAATAAATATAGAGAAAATAATATGATTAGATCAAATCAAAACAATAAAGAACAAAATAACCTATCTATATTGGAAGCAGTAAGATATGTACAGTAGGTTATCTAGATTTTTCTATTTATAACTAAAGGACACATCAGCTGAATTATTGTTCACTTAAAAGTAGTGGTGTGGTCAACATGAACATTATAGAGGGCCTAAAGTGCAGCCCCCGGCACCTCCAGAAGGGCGCACAATAGCAATGCATTTTCGCACCCCAATGCCCAGACATTTTGACCTTGGCTGCATTTTTAGCAGCACATAATGATGCACACTGAAGAAGCTGGAGTACAATAACCCCCAGCAGATGCAATAATAACCACCAGCATTGGTGTCAGGGGACTCAGAATTAATCCTTACCATTGGTATGAGTGGATGCAATAATAATCCCCAACAATGGTGTCAGTGGATGCAATAATAACCTCCAGCATTCGTGCTAGTGGATTCAGTTATAATGATCAACATTGGCATCAGTGGATGCAATAATAACCCCCAACAATGGTGTCAGTGGACACAATATTAACACCCAGTACTGTGGCGGGCGCGGCGTCAGACCCAGTCCTTCTCACCAACTTGTGACTGAAGGACTAGCCAATCTAAAACCGTGCTGCCACTTGCGTAACAATGCCACGCTCAGCTGCACTCTGCACAAAGATTTTCCAGCTCACTGGACCACAATCTATGTGCCCGCAGCCTGAGAGCAATTGTTACTGGGTCAGGTTAATTATGCAATTAACCCTTCACACTGCCACCACCACCTTTTTTACAGAGAAGGAGGAAACTCACAAATCTTAGCAGTAACACTATGATGTTTGAATAAGCGTCTGTATATACACTGTCACTGCAGGCAGATGTATACAGAAGTTTAAAACAGACAGTAGCTCTCTTCAGAGACAGGGATTCTTAGTTTGCATTAAAGAGCTTTAGAAACAGTTCAACGCTTTTCAGAAAATAGGATTTATTACTAAAAAGGTCAAAATGGTGCAATAAAAATATTTACAGAAAAAGATGTAACACATATATATATATATATATATATATACACACACAGAGAGCAATAACACAACAGAGAGATAACAGAAAGAAGTTTAGGGAGGTAGAATATTTGCCGAAGTCCTTGGTTTAAGCAGATTCAAGTGTCCTGAACAAAAGGTTACCTGTTCTCCCAAAGTTGCTTCCTGATGTTAAAATGGGATAATCTTTTCTTACTTCTCCAGGCCTGACAGCCTATTTTATAGTCCCCCGCAGGGGGTGTCTACTGAAGCCAAGGGCAAATTGCCTTATTTGGGGAGGGGGTTTAGGTGGAGACCCTGGCTGTGACCCAAATCCCTCTCGGTTTATACCACGGTCAATAACCTTCCATAGGTACATGAAGCATCCTATCCACTGGTAGAATAATATGCAGAATCATCTGCTGAACGTCCAGACACCAGATAGCACATATCTGCCTGTGACGGTTAAAGAGATATCACTTTCTGCTCTCGAGTAGACGTTATCTAGGGATGTAAGGTATCAGGTGACTCGCATTAAACTGACCTATCTGAATATATCCTTTGTTTTATTGTACCTGTTTCCTGCCGGGAGTTATGAAATTGTATAAAAAAGTGGTTCCAAGTGGGATGTATGTTTTACTGCTATTTCGGAATGCTTTTCAAGTCCAGTGACTGACGGGTTTATAGCTTTACGATCCGGCCAGAGCAAGAGACACCCAGACACCCTGGAACCAGCTAATTGGGTTTACAACCATGAAGTGTATCCAGCTGTGCCCTGTGCACTCCTGAACTCAGCACACACACAGACCACATGCCATTCAACAGAAAGGGAGGGGGACTGATTCGGAGTGAGAATGGCACAAGATGGTGGATCTTTAGCAAAATGGATGTCCGCGTCCATATCTGTACGTACAATTGCTACAAGTACTGCTGTCAGTACAGTCAGTGCAATAATAGTGTCAGGAATGGACTAGCCAGCAATGGTGGGACTCACCTGCCTTTTGATCTGCAGTACCAGGGCTGGCCAGCGGGTGCTCCCAGCAATCAGAGACTCAACTTTGCAGCCAGCTAACACCTGGAACTGATTATGCTGGGGTATTTAAGGGATGGCCAGACTTGCAGACTCTGCCTTGGTGTTGTGTTTCTCTTGGGCCCTGTATCCTGTTCCTGCTCTCTGTTCCTGTCTGATTCTCTGCCTGACCCTCTGTACTACGCTGCTTGCTACCTGTTCTGATCCCTGGCTTGTGACCCTGACCATCCCTCTGCCTGACCCTCTGTACTACGCTGCTTGCTACCTGTTCTGATCCCTGGCTTGTGACCCTGACCATCCCTCTGCCTGACCCTC